CTTCATAATTTATACATTTATTAATCAATACAATATACTTGATCCTTATAGAGGCTATTCCTTGCCAAAAATCCAGCCTTTGAAACTTGACAATGCATACTTCGGTTCTACTAAATATATTAGTAAAAATCTAACATACTGCACTGGTATTAAGCATTTTGATTATCTCGATTTGATAAAATAAATGAAAGCTGTAAACATGCAACTTAGATAAATTGCAAACTGTATTTATAAATGTATAACTTCAAATTTGCGACATGAAGAATTGTAAACGATAGAACGTACACAATACGTTTAATGCTGTGCATCATGACGTTGAGAATGTAACTGCATCAACTTGACACACTCCGGTTTACAACACCACACTTTCCTTTTACATTCTAACGCGATTTACATGTGTATAAAACGACTTTGCAACTTCCATATATGTAATTATTACGGAAATAGACGAAAATTAATAGGCGGAGCCAATTTTCACGAAAACAAAATATTAAGAGAGGTAACTCTTGCTGGTACAAAAATATTTCAAATTATATAACTCAATTGCAGTTGACTTTGAACATACTCTTGATTTTTTTAAAACGTATTCTAGTATAGGATATTCAAATAATGCAAAATTGGTTAAGATATAATGTAACAATGTAACAACGTTTATACTGATAATGAGCATAATAATATGCAAAAATTTAAGTTGGTGAATTAACATAAGGGAATGTTTCCTATATATAATGTACGGAAACGTTTAGCGACCACCCTTATATGATACATATCAAATGACTTTTTTTTATTATAGTTTTATAGTATGTTTGTTTTATGTAAATATGCTTTGAGGAAAGAAAAACATATTAAGAAAGATGTTAGTGTTTTATTTTTTTTCATTTTGTCAGATAGTTAAAAGTAGTTTATCTTGCATTATAAGATAAAAACGTACGTTAAACTACGAAAAAATACGTATAATATATGATTTACAACAAATATTGATTTAGTTGCTTTCTTTATTAAATACAAATGTCTTGACTTTTCTCGTGTCACGCATCAAATAAGACTAACTTACAAGAATGCGGTCAAAATTAAATGTTATGGTGATGAAGAGCACGATATTTTATATTTTTCATAGGAAAAAAACCCTCTTTTTTGCAAAATATATAATATGCAGATAAAATGATAATTTCCACCAATTTAGCTACTCATTGATTTAAAATTGGGGTGTAAAGAGGATGTTACATGATAAAGATTATGTAAAAAAGGCTTAATCAACCAGTTGCTAATAAAGATAATATATGCTGGTGATGGAGAGAAATATTTCGGTTAGATTTCTGATACGACAACCGATCTGCCATAATTGCACGCGTAATGGAGGAGTCACATTCCTTAATCTTTGAAATTCAAATGGTTCATATATATTCTGTATTGTGCAGGATTTTTTTGTCCTAAATTGTAAAATATGTTACATTATATTTCATAATGATAGAGGTATGCGAATAAAAATCCTCAATTAACAAACCTACATATAAATGAACTGAAAAATTTCACATAAATTTTAATCCAGCAATATAAACAGCAGATTGGGTAAATGATATATATTCAAGATCAAATAACAATATAAATATTGGTCAAATATATATCGTGTGTTAAATAAATTGTCTTAAATTCTGTTTTTACCAACATGCAGGGGCTGTAGATATTACAAGATAAATATTTCAGATCAAGTAAGTTTGTAAAACTTGGTAAGGTATATGATATGTATTAAATAGATTGTCAAAAATTCTGTTTTAACTAACATATAGGGGTGGTCGCTATACGTTTCCGTAATAATGACACACACCACATTCTATTAATGTATTAATATAAATGATAAGTTTGTGTGCCTATGTATATGGTAAAAATAAAAAGTTATGAACAAAAGGGTACATACAACTTTGGTTATTATTTTAATATTGTAAAATGTTTTTTCTTGTCAAGTCATACGCTAGGTTTAAGGTTACTAATATAATAGTAAATGCTACTACTAGGAAAGACAACAGCCAGAATTTGGTCTGTATAAGTAATTAGTTATATTAGTAAAATCTCTATGAGATGTTGACTTGAAAATTTGAAAGTGGTAAGGTAGCAGCTTAACTGTAAATGTTATTCATTCCTATGCAAATTGGAATACCCTCAGTAAAATTTATATGTCGTTGAATATATTTTATTAATAGTTTTTACTTCCTTGAAAAATATTTAACCTCAGGCAGTAAGTAGCCTGGTGAGTTTTTTAATTATTTTTTAGTTTCTTTTTCTAGGAAATGCGGAATCTAAAACGTTTTAAAACTTATATGCCTATAATCCTTTAAAGTCCGCTGATGTTGATTGTAAATATGCTTTGAGGAAAGAAATACATATTTAAAAAGATGTAAGTGTTTCATTTTTTTCATTTTGTCAAAAATTTAAAAGTACTTTATCTTGCATTATAAGATGAAAAACGTACGTTAGATAACGAAACAATACGTAATATATATGATATACAACATAACTTGATTTAATTGCTTCCTTTATCAAATACAAATGTCTTGACTTTCTCGTGTCACACATCATATAAGACTATCCATTTAAATAGAAACTTACAAAAATGCGGTCAAATTCAAACGTTATGGTTGATGAAGCGCACGATATTTTATATTTTTCATAGGGAAAAAAATCTCTTTTTTGCAAAATATATATAATATGCAGTTAAAATGATAATTTCCACCAATTTAGCTACTCATTGATTTAAAATTGGCGTGTACAGAGGATGTTACATGATAAAGATTATGTAAAAAGGCTTAATATAAAGATGATATATGCTGGTGATGGAGAGAAATCTTCGGTTAGATTTCTGATACTTAGGATAAAAAAGACAACCGATCTGACATATTTGCGCGCGTAATGGAGGAGTCACATTCCTTAATCTTTGAAATACAGAAAGCCTCATTCAAATGGTTCATATATAATCTTTAAAAAAGCTTTGTATTGTGCAGGATTTTTCTGTCCTCATTATCAAATATAAATTGTAAAATATGTTATATTGTATTTCATAATGATAGAGGTATGCGAATAAAAAACCTCAAGCATATATAACTAATACATATAAATGAACTGAAAAATTTCACATAAATTTTAATCCAGCAATATAAACAGCAGATTGAGTAAATGATATATATTCAAGATCAAATAACAATGTAAATATTGGTCAGATATATATCGTGTGTTCAATAAATTGTCTTAAATTCTGTTTTTACCAAAATGCAGGGGCGGTAGATATAACTAGATAAATATTTCAGATCAAGTAAGTTTGTAAAAATTGGTTAGGTATATAATATGTATTAAATAAATTGTCAAAAATCCTGTTTTAACTAACATGTAGGGGTGGTCGCTATACGTTTCCGTAAAAAAATGCTATCGCGTGCGCACGTTGTAAATAAAAGTTTTTTATGTCCTCAGGATTCAGTGACAATCTGAATATCTCTGATGTCTAGTATTCCTGTTGTTTTTAAGTCATATTGCTTAGCACGTGTATTTATTTTCCTATATATTATATTAATAAAATATGAAGCAATAAAAATGAGATAAGTTATATATTGTGAACTTAGTCTAATCATATGTGTACATTTTTTTTTTAAAAATTGTGAACGTAAAAAATGTCCATTTTTGTCAAAATTTTAAACACCTGATTATAAATGAAAAAGCTAAAATAAAGATGTTTCAGGTGACAAAAGTTCGCATTTTTCTAGAAGACGACACATTCCATAACATTTTGTTGTAAACAAGATTTAAGATTTCAATATTTTATTATGACATACATATAATGCCTATTGCTATACAAAATAATGACGTGTACACATTCTAAGAAACTTATAAACAAATGCATAAAACATCTAAAAAAACGAGAAAATAGTATTACATTTATAATATCACAATCATAAAATAAATACTATATTTAAGGACAATGAAAACGCACGGTCGGGATAATTGCATTTTAACAAGGAAAATATATTTCTTTTAAATATTTGTTCACAGTTTCATAAAACCGAATACATTCCGGTCATTTCGATACCAAAGTTATGAAAAATGATTGTATTTTAATGAAGTTATTGCATAAGGAAGACAGTACCCGAAAAATCAAAAGTAACACTTTTGACTAATAATTATTGTGATAAAATCACAACGGAAAACAAAATGAACCAATTCATGGTTACTTTATAAAAATGAAATTATTTCTTTTTTTTGAACTGTTAATTATTAACTTGTTTTGCACACCTTTCTAGAAATGTAAGGACACAAATGAGCAATTAAAATCTTAATGGAAATGAATATTAAACTATGGTCAGTTTTAGAAACCGTGGAAGCTCACAGAGACATTGCATATACACACTTTTCCTCTATAGAAGGTGCTAAATTTCAAACACTACTAAAGACTTGCTAGCAAATTGTATGCAGTGTTTCTACAAAGAAATAACCGCTGGATAGATCTAGGACAGATTCAGTCTGGTTTATCTGACAAAGCGCCAACCGTTTTGGTGTCCATCGGTCCACAATTTCTCGTTTTCACCAGCGTTTTCGCACTAAACTACGGTCCGAATGGCGTCAGTTTCCACAGGCGACTGTCCGCACCGTAAGGTCTATGAGGCGACGACATTGAAGGACATTGTTGTTTCAAAAGATCCCGACGGTGACATTACGAATAGACATTGATGAGCGACTTTGTTTTTGATTTTTATTTTGGTTTTTGCCTTTGTTAAGTTTACATTACTGTAATGAAAAAGGGTGATTTTTGGGATTTTCACCTTAGATTCTTCGATTAACTGTTGTACATTTGATTTTAAACATTTTGAATTATTTTCAGTTGTTAATTTTGCGTTTTGTATTAAATCTATAATATATATCTAATGGATTCGTAAGAGTTTTGTTTTCATGTAATAAAATGATATAGTGCGGGCGTGCGTTTTCATTGTCCTTAAGTATATCAAAATATAAAAACTAATCTCTGAAATTAATTGAAATCAGCTACCAGTTTGTCTCTTCTATTGTTTTGTATAGTAAATATATTTAGACAAATTTGTATAAGTATTATCATTCTTTTGCGAGTGATTTACTAACATCTTAAACTTTTGTATATTTTTCCAGGAACAATTATATCTCGGTACATATTCTTTTTTTAGATCAAAGTAATACGGACAATCAAGTAATTTTTAATGATAATCAGTTTCCACAACATTCAAATTGCATAGTAAATCAAAACTGTTGATTTCTTAAACAATAATTATACTAAGGTACAATGCATTTACAGCCATTAGTTAGCTGTTATAAACAGCGGTAAGAACAGCTCCTACTATGAAAGCCCCGTACAAAAAAACTAACAGAAGACCAATGTTAAATTTGTCCTTTGTTGTCAATGGTGCGTCGGGGTCTGAAATAAAAATAAAGTGAAAATTTTTAACAATAAACATTCTGGTAAAAATGTAATGATGTATAAGTAATTGCATTGTATATACATGTACAGAGGAAGCTTTTCGGTGCGGCATAAACAATTATGTGTCAATGGGCCATTAAACCCAAACAGACTAACATGCAATTGACTATACAACAAATATCAAAATCATTCCGATTTTTTTTCTGTTTCACGGTATTTTTTGAATTGTCGTAGCCATTTTGCAGTCTGATACCTGGGTTGTAATACGCGATCTGATTGGACCAGCCAAATTGGACGTCCAATCAGATCGCGTATATCACACATGTATCAGAATCCAAAATGGAAGCGACAAGTCAAATTAAAAAAAATTATACCGATAAACAGAAAAAAACGATAGAATATTGATATTCGTTGGACTTGAATTACTTTTCACCTTTCTTATAACTATAATTTTGATAGTGGATTTTTTTTTTTTTATAAATAATTATATCGGTGGTTTTGTACTGGATACCTTATAGTTAGCCTTAGAGTGTTGAATTATTTTTTACAGGGTTGTAGTAGGGGTCCAGGGGCAGATAGAGGTGGGATGTCCAAACACTGATACTGCCACCTGTGACTACAGGTCATTGTTCTTGTAAACCTACCTTCAAATCCTCGTATTCCAAGAACTGTTTGCATGCGCGTGTTTACAGGCGTCGGACTGACGTCATAAGATACTGTAGAATGGTCACGTAGTTCAGTCTCCATGGTGACTACCAAAAACAAATTTATGTTTAGATTGACCTGTTATATTTGAGAAACAGTAAAACAAATAAAAAAAACAAGTAAAAGAAAATGGTTTTGGTTGAGTTTCGTGTTTGAAAAAAAAAACAACATTTTCATTCAAATGCTTACAAAATTATGATTTGACAAAACAGCATTTCTTTATTCTATTTGGCATTTAAAACTTGTGAAATGCGTTGTCAATAATTTTATACTTAAAATATGCAAGGCAAAATCGTTGGCATGGCAAAATCGTTTGCATTTTATTTGAACAAACTTGTTTATTTTGATAAATTGTAAAATGAAAAAAGAATACGTATTGATGTATGTATCTTGGTATAATATCAGTCGTGAAAGATAACAATGTACCAGAGATGAATTAAGATACATGTTATAAATATATATTATACGTTAGGATAAATATTTAATTTTAACCTTGATACGTATATCATATATTAATAGTATTTATAACATCACTTTTAGTTGTATTAATATAAATATTCAGATAACTATTATAACTTTTATTAATTATTATTATATGAACATGTATAATTTGATAATTCTATTCGAGGGTAAACCGTGGCCATGATGATTAAACAATATAAAATCAGTTTTTTTCATACTGAGTACCACCTTGATGAAAATTTATTATCAATATCGTACTGAATCAAAGGAAAAGTTCATCAAATATCGAAGCTTTAAATACTGAATCATATCGATACAACACCGACTATCGTCCCTTCGTACACACAAGTGTTCGAACCCCCACTTCAACCAAACACCACTAAACGATGAAAATATTGATTTTGCAGAACTGAAATTATCATGTTTTTTACCTCATATAGATGCAGCGCCATAAATATTAACATGTATTTACCTCGTATGTATTTAAATCCGTTACTTTAATGAATGAACTTTATTTAAACGTATATATGTACAACAGTTCAAGTTAAGCGTAATAATGATATCATAACTTTGTTTTTATCTTTCTAGTACATATAGATAAAAACATGCCACGGTTTCATTTATTTCATATTATACAGTTATTGTATGATAACATATTATACAGTTATTGTATGATTACATATTATACAGTTATTGTCTGATTATAAGTAAGATGCATATCCATAACTCTTTACGTGGCTAATGTCTTTGTGAATATCACATAAGCTGGATTCAAAGCCTTTCTAAAATATAAATCTTAAACCTCGTATTTTTGACAGATAGAACGCTGACAGAAACTTTCTATTTAATTTACGTATCATTATTGGTCGGCTAGAAGCTTTATACCGTTTGGTTTCTAATATTAGACAGTTAGCCCGCTATATATGATTAGCTGGAACAGCCGGACTAGACTGTGTCCCGGCTGTTTCGGCTGTATGGCTAACTTCACGAACATTCGTTTATTTACATGAATATCATCCTTACTCCCGGTAAATGTCACTTTCTATTTAATGTCATGTGACCGCGTCTGGACCAATCTAAACAAGCGAAATTGTAAGTCATGATTAACAATACACGTAATACTGTTCAAATAAACACTATATAACGAATAATACTGTGCCCTGATATTTGAATATTTTTAACTGGATAACTGGAAGAAAAAGAACTAAGTAAACTTTGTTTTTATTATCTTATCTGTTATGTCTGCATCATTTTTGAAAAGTACATAGCATCAGTATATACCTTATAGTTGTAAATAGGCCATTATTTACAACGTCCTTCTGTTTATTTTAACTTAATTATGATGTATATAGGCTTTTTGCAGTAGTATAAATATTGCATCTATTATTGTAAAAATATACTGTTTTTATTTTAAACAAAGAAAAGATAATGTGTTTGTTTGTCCGAAATTTGAATAATGTGAAATATTTTTGTTTTGATTTTCTTTACCTGAAAATATTTCAAATTTGTCTGCTTCCAATCAGGCAAATCTTATTTCGAAACGACCAACAGAACAATGTATATTGTGCTATTTTGATACATATTATTTGTCTTTGAAATACTTAATCAAAAGAACAATGAACTTATCTTTAAATTAAGAAACACTTCATGTTATTATACAATAAAGCAAAAAAAAAACCTCTGTCCTTTTTATCTTTAGTCATATAATTACCGAGAGACGTTTGTCAAAAACAACAGCCGGAAATATTTATAGGTTTTGATCTATAACTTACTCGAAGACCTTAGTGGGGTCTTTGATTGGTACTTTTTTTTCTTTTTGTAATTTTATGAATTATACAAAACAACCGGAAGCAGACTACATATGGCGGTTTTCATTTAAAAGACTGATATTCTCTAATTGACTTTAAAATATCTTTTTTTTATCATATCTGAACCGCTAGACGACTTGATTGAGGAAACATAATGATTTAATGACAGTTAAAATATATGAAATATATAATTAATAGCAGATCAAATAGAAAGGAACGTGAATGACCATTATGCTTTGTATGAGAGACATTCTGTGTTATTCCTTTATTATCATTACAAAATACATCAATTAAAAATATTTTAAGTATGTAAACATTTCCTTCATATGTAAAAATCAGTGGGTTTTAAAATACGATTTTCATGAAAACGCCGGAGGACAAAATGGATAATACTTGTATCGTGGTGCACTACTTTTTATATCGGAACACCAAGATTTAGAGGTGCTTAACCGCTAAGTAGATATTCCATAGCCTGATATATACCGTGTGTCAAGACAACTTGCGGACTGCTGATTTATCAGCCTTCTTTGGGGGTATGTAAAGTATTGAAATTCGTTGTAATATAAGAAATACATGTAGTTTAACCAATTTGGACCTACAAGTATTAACCTCCTAGAGATAGCTTCATTAAATAACGAAATTACGTTCGAATAAGATGTAAGATCATTTAATCATTTAAGGTAAAAAAATCAAGGTAGAAAAGGCATTTAACTGCACCATTTACAGAGGAACCTGTCGTCGGTGTAAAATTTAAAGTGAATGTTAAAGAAATAAAAAAAATGAACCTTTACAATAAACTTTACCTACATTTTCCTATCAAAGTGCATTATTATAAACAGATACAATAGACAAGAGAAGATGCCAGTCATTGAGGTTATGGCTTCATTTTACGTGACAGATGGAAGACTTACTATCTGACAATATCTGCCTCAAGTTGACAAGATGATAAGTAAGTAGGTGTGATTGGTATGCATTGACTGTATTACATTGACATACACCTGTCTTAAACGAGGAAGACGGCGGAATAGTACATCTCATAAGACAAATCTTTACGAATTAAGTCTGTCACATGAAGTAACAACAAATAGTTTTCTTTGACTTTCGTTCCAATGTTAATGGAACTCCACTAAGTTCAAAGCCTTAAAACATAAACTTAGAATTTCCTACACAGATTAACTGAAGTTCAGAAAGATATGCAAAATATATTGAAGAAATATAGTAAGAATATAGTTTGTGCTATTTTAACCCGATTTGAGTAAAAGCGTTGCAACACTTTTCAATTATAGATCATTTTCACAGTTATAATACCCATTCTCAAAACACGAAATGATGGAATGGTCTGATATTTTTCACACAGGTTATATGTCCAGATCTACATCAAATAGAACATTAATTTCGAAAAAGGAATTTCCAGTCCTGTCATTTCAAAAATCTTCAGTAGAGTCCCTTGTAGGCTTAAATTTATCATACGCAGCAAATTAAATAAAAAATACTATGAACGCATCCACTTGAAATCGTGTTAATTAGTGTCCCATCGCATCACATTTCGTCTGTAACGTTCAAGTGATTTATAAAAAAGAGTGAGATAATCTTTTTAAATTTTAGGCAGTGGTATATTTTATCCTAGACATTTATCAATATAAAGCGTTGATCAACCACAGTTATATCAGTCATTTCTCATTTTGACAATGAAATAATGAGCGATATGTCAATTTATGGGACAAACGTATTGTCTCCTGGTATAATGTTTTATTTTTTTCATAACTTAAATATTGTGGTAAGAAAGTATATTTGAACGTGTGTATATTTATATTTTGACTGTTTAACTGTATTTTCTTATTGACTTGTATTTACGAAACACAACTATGGCTTAAATTTAGTGGTTATCAGCCTTTGCTAGATTTAGACGTGTTATATTAGGCATTTATTTACCTGTGAAAAGTTTACTTGATGTTAAACGCTTTAAGTAAAGGTAAACAATTTAAGGTATGCCACTATATCTGGATATTATGGTTGAACGTTTACTTTAAACATTTTTACAATATATGTGATAAAATACTAATAAATATGTCAATAAAAGTAAAAGTTTTCTGCCTTATTTAAAAAGAAATAGTTTGGCAATAGATCAATTCATCCGTTAAATATGTCGTATATAACACAGTTCATTATATAGGAAGGGAGTGATGCATACAATTTAAATGATGTGTTTCTAAACTGCATAAGTTACGATGTTACAGCTTCTTTCTAAACTAGAGTCGGGAGAACGTAAAGGATTATAAACATTTGATACAGTCGTTTTAAATGACGTTATGTTGCACAAATATGGACATATAACACCAGGAAAAAATGGCGTTTGAAAACTTTCTTGATGAGCTTTTCAATAAAGAACTTTGTTTTCAAATTGACGAGGAAGAAATTAATTTCATAAGAACTGGAATAGAAACGTTGGTGCAAATTATTGCCGATCTTGCCTGGAAAGATGCATACAAACATATTGAAGCTGAAACAGAATATGTGTTAAAGAAATACCCAGATCTTCGAGTCAGTAGAAATGGCAAATATAGACTGAGTGACATTGTTAAAGCGGGGAGTTTCTATGAGCTAACGAAGAACGTGTATCCAGATCAGTTTGATTATATATTCCTCATGAGTGTGTTAGAAAGTAGTAAAACATTTGTTGTAAATGAAACAGATATGGTTACCAAGGTATCTGACCTTCATAATTGTTTCCGTGATATTTTATCTACGTGTGATATATCTTTCCCATCGTTAGCCGAAAGAAATAATTACATACGCTTTGACCGGTATATTGAACGTAAAGGACCTGCTTCAAAACTTAGGTTTACATATGTACATGGTAAAACAGAGAGGCACATATATGTTGATCTAGTCCCGGCTTTTAAAGTTTTATTAAGTGGCCAAGTTGATGTCGTGGCAGACAAATGTGGAATTAGAGGCTTTAAAGAGGAAGTCAAGGTTTCTTCGAGTATTATACTTGTTCAGGAACATATCTCTTTTGTTGAAACGGAAGTCCATGTTATGAAAAATGTCTTGTCTTCAAAACACATTAAAGCATATAGACTTCTAAAGTATATTCTGAATGGGAATTATACCGACAATGCAGGTGATTCTTGTACATGTAAAGCCCGTTTATTGCGAGTTTTAGGACATTCCAAGCCGAACCTAGTTCCATCATATCACATGAAAAGGGCTGCTATATTGCATCATTATGAATGTAAAAATGAAAGCTGCGAACATGTTGCACCATGTCTTTTTCAAATGATGGAGAGTATAAAATATATTACGTTGATTACATCCGTGAGAAAACTGTACGAGTTGTATATGGAACGTCCGTTCCTTATGACAGGATATAGACAAGACATTCTCGATAAAACGATTTGTTCATTTAAAGAACTTGAAACACTAGAAAAGAAGAGAGAGAATCATGAGGTGCGCGACTTGGAAAACTTACTAGGGAAGTCAGCTTTATGTCAGAATTTACACAATGACGAAATAAATGGTATTGAATGTGAATTAAACGAAATTACTCACCCATTGCAACAGCCATTACTGTGCGACGAAAGAAAGACAGGTGATAAACATGTCAAAACAGAACAAAAACATTCTCAAAAAGATGATGTGCAGAATATAGACAGTAAGCGTCTTACTAATATTCGTGAAAATGACGCTCGTGATTCTAGCGACCTATCACGTGACGTACCGTTGCTTAGTAAATCTAAAGAAACTGATGACAAAAGAGAGCGGACAAAAGCGTCGGACTGGTTTAAAACTCTTTG